GACAGAAAAAGGTTTGGAAGTTAAGTGGTTGTTTAAACATTTGAATATATTCTTAACAGGTAGCATTTATGGAATATTATTCAAGCTCTATAAAATGTATCAAATAGTAACTGTGTAACTGTGTAACTACTTGCCATGTAGTCATTTTTCATTTTACACATTTTGCTAAGATTCTCTTTTCAATCACATGTATTACTTCATAATATACTATTATAACTAAATATAATGAAACATATCTCTGTATAATTATAAATATATAATTATATAAAATTTTTATAAGAAGTAATTGACACAAATTACAGTCTTTAGAAACATAGTTCAGGGGACTTCTAGAATTCAAGAGCTATTCCCATTCATGCAATTTCTTGGAAGAGACAGTGCTAGTATTTTATGTGAAACACACATTTCTAAAGTTAGAAATGAAGCCTAAGCTTCAGTTTTGTAATCTGGGTAAGAGTACTGTTTTTCTCCTCAAAGGATAAGGCATACAGTTCCTGGGAATCAGGAAAGAGGGAAGGGAGGAAAAGGGTACAGAAGGTATACAACCACATGTGGAGAGATTTTGAAATGTAAGCGTGTAAGTGGTATTCAGTCATTCAGTTGTTTCAAATATTCAAGTATTCAATATTAAACATCTTTATAATTGACGCTCATTTGCATATCTTATTCAAGCTAAATTGGTCTCCAGCTTTTAGTAAACATAATTAGATCTACATATTACTGTATGATATTTTTCACAGTTTGAAGATTTTTTTCTACATGAATTTGACTTTAATATTGAAGTTTACTTCTGAAAAATTTTTTGATCATGTAGTCTCTTGATTAAAAGTGGACTCAGGATTTTTAACACAGGTGCAAAATGTATGATGTGAAAGGAAGTGTAAAGAACATTAGTGAAACGCAATAGCATAGCATCCAGGCATCTAAAGATTAACAAAAGCATTTAGGTCACAAACTTTAGTCACAAAAGATTGTGCACCTTACTGAAATGCCAGAACACAGGCAAGATGAAGCTATCCTGGTCAAATGAAAAATGCTCTCCTCTGGCTTGATGGTCTCTGAATACACATAAGGGAACTTGGTAGAATGATAGAAAAAGTTCTCTTTCAGTTGAAATAGTCATTTTTCCTGCATATGTATAAATGTCAAAATATTGAGCTTGACAGTGAATACTGTTTTCCATTATGTAAATTGCACTTGAGTAAATTCGTGTTTCTATAGTGTTAAACAGATGAATCACATTTTTTAGCTTTTTTAAAGATGGACTTCAACTGCACAATGTATTTGCACAGATGTGTGAAATAAACGATGTTACACATATGGGTTAACATACCAGTTTAATGGTCATACAAACACTATCTTGGCTAAAAATAAGCTCTCAACAGACAAAGATTTAGAAGTAATGTAGTCTTATTGAATTTGTCAGTTACGTGACATTAGGGCATGACAACATATTAAACTCTGCGTTTGACTTGTGCAAATCTCAGATTTATCACTTTTTATTTTTATTATTTTTTTATTGGAAAGGCGGATATACAGAGAGGAGAGAGAGAGAGGAAGATCTTCCGTCCGATGATTCACTCCCCAAGTGAGCGCAACGGGCCGATACTATGCCGATCCGAAGCCAGGAGCCTCTTCTGGGTCTCCCACGAGGGTGCAGGGTCCCAAAGCTTTGGGCTGTCCTCGACTGCTTTCCCAGGCCACAAGCAGGGAGCTGGAAGGGAAGCAGGGCTGCCGGGATTAGAACCGGCGCCCATATGGGATCCCGGGCGTGCAAGGCGAGGACCTTTAACCACTTGCGCCACCGCGCCGGGCCCAGATTTATCACTTTTTATAACACATCAGGATGCATTAGGAAGCAGGAGGAGGGAAAGGAAGAAAAGAGGGAAGGGTAGGGGAAGGATGAAAGGCTTTTAGGAATTGGGACATTATGTTATCAAGGTTGAACTGTCTTAAGATCCCCAGTTGGCAAAATGGAGACACAGGTGAACAGAAGTGTAACTCCAGTGGGTTCTTGCAGGACTGAGAAACAGAACAAACCTGCTGTGAGTTTCGTTTGAATTCCAATGCTCAGTTGCCCTCAGGGAGAGGAAGTTAATGTTCTTATTCACCATTCTCTCCTAATCAATGGGTTAAATGAAGTCCAGCCATTTTGGGGGAGATAATTCAGTTTATTCAGTCAATCAATTCAATTGTTAATCTCAGCCAGAAGCACATTCACACATACTCTCTAAAGAATACCAAATATGTGGTTCTCATGTGATGAAGTTGACATTAAAATTAAACAACATAAATGAATAGGAACTACATGCCACAAGTCAGAGATACATCAAAACATTCAGACTTCATTGTTAAACATGAATGTCTCATGCACTTTTTCTACTAGTGATAATTTCTATAGTTTTCTGTTGGGTGGTTTTCTTTAAGAGATGAATTAGGATAAAATATCAGTAAGAATATTGACTAAAAGTATATAGTAATGTAATAGCAATATGTGATGTTTTCTCCTGAAGATAGTGCATCTCTTAAAACTGCCAGAGTTCATGCTACTTTTGATAAAATTTGCTCTTTAATCATAAGTATCACCTAGTGATTAATTTTATTTATGCATAACTAGCATCAATGAATTTTCACATTTTATTTCTTTGGGAATAGCCGAGGAAAGAAAAACAAAATGCTTGAATTGTTTGTAAAATATGGAAGAAAGTAAAATCGCATCAGCACTTTAAATCATGTGACAGAAAAAGAGTTGAGTCTGCTGGTGTATACCCAAATGTTTACAATTAGTCAGGTTTTCAGGATTCTGAGGCCTGAATTGCAGATTCCACCCAGATCTTCGTATATGTGAAAGAAATACAATTACTGAATCCCTCACTGTTTCTTCACGGAGTTCATGTCCACCGGCAGTTGGAATCAAGGGCCAGAGCTGAGAATTAAACTAAAGTAGTTTGGAACATCTTAAACGTGGCGTCTCAGCTGCTAGGCTGCATGCCCATTCCTTTGGTTAGATTTTATTTACTAACATGCTGCAGAAAATTGTCTTGTACGAAAGTTAACAAGATATAGAAAGAACCATGATTCACAGTAACAGTAAAAAATTGCAAGTTTTTCCTCACAGAAGCAAGGAAAAGTGGGGAACTCTGGATATTCTGTTAAAATAGAACAGTTTAAGGAATGGATAGAACCTACTTCTCTTAAAAAAAAAAGTAAGATTTGCTTGTTTGGTTTGTTTTAAAGACAGACTTATAGAGAGGGAGAGACATCTATTTGTTCACTGATAAAATGGCTCAGATGGCAAGAAATGACCAAACCAAAGTCAGGAGCCTGAAACTCTATCTGGATGACTCATGTGAGTGCAGGAACCTAAGGATTTGAACCTCTTCACACTATTTCCAAAGTATGTTATCAAGACACTGGATAAGAAGTGGAGCTGCGGGGACTTGAATTGGTTCCCAACTTGGTCTGCTGCTATTAAGATAGCAGCTAAATCTACTGCCCTAGGTCCTGCCCCCTGGAACCTTCCTCCTAAAGGGAGATTTTCCAAAATGCTAAAGATGTCCAAAGTTGTCATGTATGGGAAGATGTAGAAAGGATTGTGTACAGTATTTGACCATTAAATGATAACAAATTATGACAAATTATAACAAATGATAACAAATTAGTGTAAAATTACAATTACTATCTAAATATGTTGCTACTGATAAGCCTAACTTATGAGGTGTTATGAAAAATTTTTTTAAAAGTAATTTGACCCTTATAGATTTTTGAGAACAGGTCACATCTTGAGGTACTCCTCTTTCTCTTAGTTGGATATTAACAGCTTTCTATGTATGAATTTTACTGTGCATGTTTATTTAGGAATTTACATTCTGTAATATTTTTGTCAAAATTTAATGACAATAGTAATCTCTGATTTGGAATTTAATAGTTGGTAATAAAAACATGGTGTATATATCAGACATGGTCAAGTTGAAGATGAGATCAAATTAAGTTGAAATTGAACCATGGAGTGAAGTTCCTGTTAAGACTTGAGGAATGGGAAGGGAAGAAGTGAAAAATGACTCTGGTAGGAATATAATATATCAAAATCTACAGGAAAGAAATCCGGGGTTAAATCTAGCCATTCTTTTATATGCTTCATGCAGCACTTTTTGTTGTTTGAAACCAAAATAAAAAGATGTGGCCACCTCCCCAACTTCTGTCACCTGATGGTGTTCTATTCATCTAAGATTATAGGGACTGGACAACTTTGTCTGAGAGGACATCTATTGTTCAAAACCTCTTTCCTTAAACTTGCCGTTTGTGTATAACCAACATTGCTCTCGTTAAATTGGTTTTTGAGTTTGTAAGGAGGAAAAATATCTGTCATTATTTAAATTCTAGCTTGTAGTTAACATACTACATTAAAATAATGTTTCAGGGGAGATAGCAGATGCATTTTCTGCATACATGCATGCCAAGATGCTCATTGTTAGAAAGAAAAGTGCTTGACGTTCAGGCAGAGGCTTCTATTTCTTTACCCAAGCCTATGTTTATGGAGTTGAAGACTTTAGATAGAAAGGATTACCTTTGGGAGTCAGCATTTTGACAAGGCATGCCAACTGCACCCTATAATGCCAACGTCTCACAAGGGCTTCAGTTTGGGCCCTGACATGTCTTTGGTCCAACTCCCTGCTAATGCAGCTCAGGAAGTATTAGAAAATGCCCAAAGTTTTTGTGGCCTTGTCAACCATGTGTGAGACCAAAGTTCCTGGGTCCTTTCTGTCTGGTCCAGTCCGTTGTTGTGCTGATGTGGGTACTTGGGGAGTTGATCCATAAATGGAAGAGCTCTTTCTCTCACTCCATATAATCTCAGTAATATTGCCTTTCAGCTAGAATAAATATGCCTCTAAGGGGATATAAGGTGTGTAACAGAGAACTGGTTTTTTGTGTTGCAACACTTCTGGTCTGTGACTGATGAAATGAAAATTGACTTTTTTTTTTCTTAATTTCCTTTTCAGCTTACCCCAGTTGGAACCACAATATTTACAGGATTTTCAGGAGACAATGGAGCTACTGACATAGATGATGGTCCAAATGGACAGATAGAATATGTTATTCAATATAATCCAGATGATCCGGTATGTAAACACCTAAAGCAATATTCTGTGCAGAATAAAACTAACGAACATTTGAGCTGAAATGTATTACATTATTCTGTTAGCTCATCAAACCACATTATTAATGTCACTCTTATAATTATCTCAAAATGGAATTGTTTTATAGTACTAATCTGTACTTTCACAAGTTAATTTTTGGCAGTGCATTCAGATGAAAACTCAAAATGCGTTTCTTTATAAGTTTGAGATACCAAGTTTGCTGAATTTTCAGTTTCTGTATATCCTGGTAGGTGTTAAGAGTTTTCTAAACAAAGCATAGTTAGTAATCCTAAGCTTTATGAAATATAATTAATAGCAACATTATCACCACACATCATATAAACTCACATAAAATATATTTCTGATCTGGGTAAAATCTTAAGTTTCTAGCCATTCCACAACTGAAAGTTAAGTGGAGAAGACAGAAAAGGCTCCTTTTTCTTCCGTTTTATTCTTCATTTTTTTTTATGCTTCAGATCAGATAGTTGTTGCTATGTAGTTCAGATCATGAACATTTTTGTTCTAATAATACAAATAACAGAAAAGACAGAAAAATCCAGAATCACATAATGGAATATGGAAATTAAAATTCTATCTGTTATTTTTTTTGAAACATCTTCCTGGGCTACCATGGCCTCCCCAGCATAATTTTATAACCAATAATTAGTAAAATTAAAAATTTCATGCTTGGCTTTTAGGTTTTGCATAGGCATATAAAAAGCAGTAAAGTTAATATTACCCCCTCAAGTTTCAGCTTGAGTGTCTCCAAAGTTTTAAGCAAACCCAGAAAAGAAAGCAAGCTAACAAAAACTCTATACATTTTACAAAGACTGAGAATTAACAAGATGTACCTCATAAATGTGTTGTGGTTATCAAGTAAATCATAAACTCATTCCTGATAAGACCTTGGTTTGTGGTAGCATCTCTATTGTGCCAGAAAGGAAATGGGCAAATCTAAAGTGATTTCTCTGCTATCACACAAAACCTACTAAATTGTACAGTCAAATTTTAGAAGAATGTGCATTCCACCACTTACATTGTGCTCCAGTGAAATGGATGTGATACAAATTTAAAGTTTGCAAAAGATTAGTATATTGAAAATAGAAAAGCACATGTGATAGAATTTTTCAGGGCAGGATTTGAACTCATTTCATTTCCTTGTATCTTTTTTAGAAAGATTTATTTTTATTAGAAAGTCAGATATTAAAGAGAGGAGGACAGACATGGAGGAAGATCTTCCATCCAATGATTCATTCCCCATGTGACCGCCCCTGCTGGAGCTAGGAGCCAGGAGCTTCCTCCAGGTCTCCCCTGCAGGAGCATAGTCCCAAGGCTTTGGGCTGTCCTCAACTGTTTTCTTGGGCCACAAGCAGGGAGATGGATGGGAAGTGGGGCTGCCGGGATTAGAACCAGCACCATATGAGATCCCAGCGTGTGCAAGGCGAGGACTTTAGCTAGGTTACCATGATGGGTCCTCATTTCCTTGTATTTTTTTTCTGAAAGTAAACCGCACAGCATATTTGTGGGCAGAAGAAATGAATCCAGGTGATGGGAGCATGATGAGAGTTTGAGGTTGAAGAGCAGGGTACATAGACGGTAAGGGGAAAAATGAAGCTTTCTACTTCATAAAAAGACAAAAGAAACACTTTTTCTTATCTGGGAACAGATACTTGAGTGTATGTTCTATTTCTAAACCATTGACTTGGATTTCTAAAAGTCTTTTTTTTTTCTTAAAAGTTGAATGACTGTCTGGTTTCTAACTTATACATTAGGCAATTTTATAATCCTTAGTTCCAAGGATGAAAAAAATGAAACTCACCAGTGTACATGGTATAACTAGGGTATGCATGTTAGGATTTATACCAACATATTTTGCATGGTAAAAACACAAATATACAAACGTGCACTCAAGGTGTAAATATAATTCAGACAGAAATATTTATAAAAAAATTTTTTTGAAAGTTTTGTGGTGCTAAAATTCCTGTTGGCTGTGCCGAAATTCTTTGCAAATACTCCCTTATTTCAAGAGTTTGTGTGTTTGCAATATCCACAAACACATACACACATATTCATGCAATACACTTTTTATTATCTACACATGAATCAGCAAATCACCCCTATGAAATTTCAAAATTAGAAAAAGGATAACATATGTTCTAAATGTAGTACTACTGAGGAAAACATAGTACATTTTCCAGGTGTGGTTCTGACTACATGGGACGAAACAATAAAGCATCATAACAGCAGCTTATTTGGGCAAATTGGCAGAAAAAAACATTTAAAACTCAGATTGCTGTGGGAAATGATTGATGGAGTGTTGTAGAACCAGGCTCTTGCTGTCTGCTGTGCAGGGACTGCTGTGGACTCAGAGGCTACCCTCAATTGCATGGTATATAGTCTAAGCCAACAAGCTGTGCTTGTAAGATGGAGCCTTGCATCGTGTAATATATGGTAGTCATAGTAATCATCTATGACATATTTTACTTACAGTAAGCAAATCATAGGTCCTGCAAGTAAGCAACAGGTAGGGAATACATAATGGTACAAATTGCTTATTAGGAGCTAGGATTTAAAACTGTCACACCCAGATACAGTGTCAAATATTCCTATTGCTATTTCGCGTATCTTTTGAGCAGAACTATTTTAAAGGCTGTTTCTGAATCACTTTTCTGCAAGCTGTACAAAATAGAGGGGATACACGTTCTTTCCTCATCTGAAATTAGAGTAAGATGAGGGCCATTTCCATTATTTTTATTTATGTCTTCTTTATGGAAAGTATAAAAAATTTACTAGAAATGCACAGTAAGGAAAGAACACTTAGTATTGAAAAATCAAAATTTCAGTGACACTCAGGCTGGATTCAGCTGCGCAACAAACCCTTTTATTTAATCTGAACTAAATCATGATAGTTAAAATTGAACCTTTCATCTGTCACTGCTTTTGCAATTCAAATTTTCCAAAAGAAATAAGGTTACGGCAGGAAGACTGTTGAATTGATTCAGTTAATTTGGAGCACAAATACATGTGAAAAAACCTGGTGGTTTTTGTCTTTGGACACTTGCCAAGAGTACTTTTCTTGGAGGACATTGCTTGTTCTGACGAGGGAAGTATGACCCAATGCACAATACAGATATTTCCCTTGGTGCCGCTGTGGTGTTTGTAGAGAAATGTAGAGTGACGAAACATCCATTAGCCAGGCTGCCTTAATGATAATAAACAGAAACCATTTTCTGATGTGCAATATTAGATGTGAGATATACAGAGGAACTAAGAGGTAACGAAATCCAGTGGCAGTGTTACAGAAGCATATTCTATTATTTTATACTAGAAAAATTGATGGACCTCAAACTTCAATGTATGAGTCTTCCATAGAGTTGTTAAGAAAGACAGTTATTTAGCAATACTTGTTTAAGCATCGTAAGAAAAACTAAATTCTGGATCCTTGCGGTAGGGACCAATGAGGATCTTCAAGTGGAGTTTGAGGTTAGGATCAACTCCAAATGTAATTGGAAAAATGTAGAAATTGATAGCCAGGAGTAAGTGTGAGGATCAAAGATGCTGAATAATCCAGTCTTAAAGGTCGGCCATGGTGATCACATATCACCCCGTGACTGAGAATGAAGACTGGTGAGAATGATCTTGGTGCACAGAGCTGCTAATAACATGCGTGGACTCTGACTGATGGTAGAAAGCCAAAGTTTTTTAATGACAGCAGACTTTATACACTATGGGTCATATTGGATAAGGGAGGAGGTATTGAGCTGATCAAGAAACCCATCAAGTATTTCTATATTTTTGTTTGGAACTCTTTTTGTTTTGTATATTCCACCAAGTGTTCTCATTCACATGCTGTCCACTCAACTGTTCTCATAAAATGATATCCAATCAGTTATACAAAAAGTATCCATCTGGTTATCTTTTAAATATTATCCAATCAATTGTAATCCTGTGCTCACTGACCTTCTAGGGTCACAATGTCCTCCTACAGATGCTGTGCAGTGGGTGTTTCTGTTAAAGTGACTTAACAGTGATCTTTGCGGAAAAAATGGTTTCACAAGAAAAGGACACATATCTGCCTCAGACCACTGAGGAGAGTGATTTTATTTATTTTTATTGAAAGGCAGATATACAGAGGAGAGAGAGGAAGATCTTCCATCTTATGATTCACTCCCCAAGTGGCCACAATGGCTGTTACTGAGCTGATCTGAAGCCAGGAGTCAGGAGCCTCTTTCAGGTCTCCAACACAGATAAAGAGTCCCAAGAACTTCCTTCTGAACAATAGCAGTGCATTGTCTTTTTCAGTTTCCTTTTTGATCATTAAGAATGAGATAAATCATTTTTTGGGCCAGATAGCATAGGGCCTCTACTTGATGATGTGGGAAGACAAGCCTTAATGAAGTTTAAGGTCTCTGAAATTTCTACTTGGTATGCACATCACTTTTATATCATACTGCTTTTTTATACCTTCATTATAATACATAAAAAAGATTGTCCATAATATGTTGAACTACTGACTTAGAAAAATTAAAAGAATATTTTTTGAAATGGATCAAAATTTGTTATTACATATTCTGTAGAAACATTCTTTTTTAGTTTCTTTAATATGGTAAAATGAAAATATTATAGATGCCATTGTGATATTTTGAATTACATTAAGCATCTGTAAGTAGAATAAGGGACTAAGGGCATCTCTGATTATATCTGCATAAAAATATTCAATCTTAGCAAAATTAGATCACAGTAACATGTTGAAAATGATGCCTACTAAATTGACTGTAATTAAAATGTTTGATTGAGCCATTCTAGACATGTACCTTCCCCAGAATATAGTCACCAAAAATCTAAGGTCATTTGAAGTCCATGGATAACTTCAGAGCAACAATTGCAGTATCATTGATAGACAAATACTAGCAAGTGAAACACGTTTTTATTTGCCTTGAATTCCTAAAATATAACCATACATTCTGTAACTATATGTTATATACTGTATTGGCAATTATTAACTTAGATTTTGCCCTTTTCTAACACATAGATGGATTGAATCAATTTTACACTCCCTTATCATAAAGAAAATAACATATTCACAGATTTAAATGAGGCAAATTTGAGGGAAAATGTCAAATGCCTAATTTGAAGATAACATTTTCTGCATTTATATTTTAAAATGACAGATGATTTCAAACCAGAGAGATTGCCAACCCAACTACGTGAGCACATAATGGTTGCTTTAAATATATATCAACCATGTAGTGTACTATGCAGGTATGTTTGCATAGATACACACAGGCCAGACAGAAATGTTTAGCAATACTTATATTCTGTTGATTGAGCCCCAGATGGAAGATTTAAATGCTCTTCAAATCATGTTTAAGTGATTGTTAGAAATATACTTAAATTAAGTTGAAGGCATAAACATGTATAATTACCTGACTTCCTTCCCTTCCTCCCACTCTCCCTTTTCCTTTTTCTTCTTTATTCCCTACTTTTCCTCTTTGTTCCCTCACCTCCTTCCATCCTTCCTTTCCTTTTCTTTCATTCTTTCCTTCCTTCCCTCATGCCTCTAGTTTTCCCCTTCTCAGCCTCTTTATCCTTCTCATTCTTCTTGCCTGCCTTTTCCTCCTCTTCTTCCCTATTTACTTCCCCCATCTCTTCCCCTTACTGCTTCTTTTCTGTTCTTCTGGCTCCGTCTTCCTTTCCTTCTCCTCATCCTTTTCTTTGGAACAACCCAATGAAACTCTTTGTGAGATGATCTCTCCAATGCACACAGCCATAAACAAACTCATTCCTCTACCAAACAGCTCACCAAGTAACAAGATAAACATAATGGTCTCTGCTGAAAGGAGCACTGATCTTTTGCTGTTTTGAGGCAGTTTTTCAAGAGTTTTCAAAATGAGACTATATGTAAGATTAATGTAAGGCCAGTGCTGGAAGATTTTTCAAAACGTTGTTTGTATGATCTGCATGTTGGCAGGAAGATTCTGAATCCTTGATAGGGTCAGAGCCTTAGCTGATGAGCAGTAGTTATGGAACCTGAAAATATTAGTCTTTAATTCTTAGATTTTGTAAGAAAACTGTTTGAAATTCAAGTTTGCATTACAAAACACAAGAAACAAAATATAAAATGGGAACCTATGTTGCAAAATGATATAAAGTAGAAATCACAAATTGCAATTTGTGATAAAAGCCAACAGTTGTCATATGATTTGACATTAGAAGAAACCGTTGTTTAGGGCCCGGCATGTTAGCTTAGTGGCAAAAAGTCCCATCTTGAACACACTGGGATCCCATATGGGTGCTGGTTCTAATCCCAGCGTGCCCGCTTCCCATTCAGCTCACTGCTTGTTGTCTGAGAAAGCAGTTGAGGACAGCCCAAAGCCTTGGGACCCTGAACCCCACATAGGAGACCTGGAAGAAGCTCAATTCACATCAGCCCAGGTATGGCTGTTGCAGCCACTTGGAGAGTGAATCAGCGGACAGAGGATCATCTCTCTCTCTTCCTCTCTGTATATCTCACTTTCCAATAAAAATAAAATAAACCTTTAAAAAAAGTAACCAGTGGCTAATAACCCTAATAATGAAATGAAAACTAAGGACCATTTTTTTTTTTACTACTTATTATCAAATCTTTCTAGAAAGCATGTTGATCAAAATGAAACATTTCAAGGCCTGGCACAATGGCTTAATGGCTAAATTCTCACCGTGCTAGCACCAGTATTGCTTTGAGAAAGGTGCATGTCTAAGCTGTTCCAATTCTTATTGAGCTCCCTGTTTATGACCTGGAAAAGAAGTAGATAATGGCCCAAAGCATTTGGATCCTGTACCCATGTAGGAGACCCAGAAGAAGCTGCTGGCTTCAGATAGGCTCAACACCAGACTTTATGACAATTTAGGGAGTGAGTCAGCAGAAAGATGTTTCTCTCTATCTCTACTTCTCTCTGTAAATTTGATCTGCCTATCCAATAATAATAAACAAATCTTAAAAAAATACACTAGATGAAACATCACAAAGATACAAGAATATTACCCATAACTACTATTCATATTTTATTTTCTACTAATAACCATAATGTCTATAATTTTATGACTAAGGCATAATTTCTGGTTATCTGTTTTGTATCCCACTGATTTGAATTCTTTGTGTTCAATATTTTCAGACATCTAATGACACCTTTGAGATTCCCCTCATGTTGACTGGAAATGTAGTTTTAAGAAAGAGGCTCAACTATGAAGATAAGACTCGCTACTTTGTCATTGTCCAAGCCAATGTGAGTATTCATTTCTTCTCATAGCTTTCCTATGAATTCATAAAATAAACACTATTCCAAAATGTGTAAGACACTTACTGCACCCCTTTTGGGATTAACTTCCCCTGACTTTAAGGGAATTTATATACACTTAGATTATCTCTTGGCTTTCTGAATAGAATTCTCAAAAGATGGAAGAAAAACATCTGCACTTTAGTTCACCTTCTAGTGAAGTACAAAAGAAAATGATTGAGAGATATAATAGGCACTTCCTTTTCTCATTGCTTTCAATCATTGAGTACCTACTAGGTATTCACCATTATTCCCTTAACTAAAATTTACATAATTTACCTTAACATGTGAATAACAAAAACCTGAAAAAGGGCTGCTTTTGTAATGTGGCCATTTGTTAACAGTAGTGATATTATAGTTAATTTTACAAGGGGCTGGCATTGTGACATAAAGGCTCAACCTGCCATGTGATGCTGCTACTTTGATTCTTGGCTACTGTACTTCTCAGTTAGCTCCCCGACCTGAGAAAGCAGAAGTGGAATACAGTGCTTGGGTCCAACCATTCTTATTCAATGCCTGGTTGAAGATCCTGTTTTCAGATAACTCACTGAAAGGGATTAGAAGGAGAGATAGATAGAACTTGCACATAACGAAATGTATCCTAGAAAATGAATATTTAACAAATGAACTATGCATGGATTTCAAAAAGTTGCAGCAATAAAAACTTAACAATATACTTTTTTTCCATTATTTTTATGATACAATTCCATAGTCCGATTTCCCCCCATTGCTCTCCTGCTCCATCACTGTTTTCTTCCATATTAAGATAGAATATAGTCCTTAAGCAACAGTCACAAGTGTATCATTGTCATATTTAGATCTTAAGTATCCAGATGTTCTATTATGTATTTATATATTTTTTTAGTAGATAATGTCACTATTTTTCATTGCGTTGCTGTACATTGCACTGTTACATAGACACAGGAAAAAAAGGTCATTTACATGGCATTTTAAACTATTTATTTGTCTGAAAGAAAAGGAAGGGGAAATCTTCTATCAACTGATTCATTCCCCAAATGACAGACAGAGCCAGGGTTGGTTCAAGCCAGTCAAATGGCCAGAGCATCATCCAGATCTTCCACAAAGACGGTAATAGCCAAAGTACTGTGGCAATTTTCCACTGATTTCTATGACATATTGGAGGAGATATGCATCAAAACCAGTGTTTCCAAAAGTATGATACTGGATATGGACGTTGCAAGTGACACCTAATCCTTCTGTGCCACATCGTTGTAGGTAGCACCATTTTTTTCAATACAACATTTTCAGAAAAAATGAATTTTGGAACTGGGGCTAATCAGACCTACATGATGGTCAATGTGGGCATCTTTTCCTAATACTGATTCAGTGACCTCAAATTTGCATCAATAATATGGACGTTAATAGTATTGAAAAAATGAGAAATACTATGAGTGAATGCATTCTATATCTGAGAGCTGGGTTCTTAATATTGTTAACTAGTTACAATTGATTTTTAAATATTGTAACATCGGGATTTTATTTCATCGTGAGATGATGAATGTAACTATACCAAGTTCTTCCAATGAAAATGATTTCCAAAAATTAAGATTAAAAAATTGCTTATCTATTTTTCTCAGCCATAATTCCATGAGAACATGTAAATGAGGCTCGACTTTATGAGTTACATTTACCAGAGCTGAACAGAGTCATTAATAGGGCCTACCAGAAAGCTTTTTTTGTATTAGGATGAGAGCTAATTGTTAGCCATTCATTTCTGCATAGGAAAGAGGTTCAACTAGAGCACATATGAATGGAGATGCTGCCTCTTTCTCAAGAAGAGTAAGAATACAGATTATTCTTCTGTTTCTAGATATATATATATACCTAAAGTAGATACATTATTTTGAGATCAAGTACTGTTGAAATATAATGATTTTTTGTTTTGCTTTGAAGTAAATATCTCTAAAATTCTAACAAGGTCTGATAACAAATGACTGAATATTACTCAAATATTGCCTTGTTTTGCCAATGCTACAGAGATATTATGAATGTTCAAAGGGAACTAACATTCCACATAGTTGAGAAAAATCTTTGTATGTGTTATGATTCTTAATTAAGCTTAAAAAGTTGTGACAGAATAACACAATCTGTTTTTGTTTTATTGAGAATCTGCAGTATTCCTATTCACACTGTTCCATTCATGTGGTTACAAAAATAAAGGGATGATACAATTCAGACAAAAATTAGTGGGGAGGATCTGACACAATTGCCTAGTGGTTAGTCTTGGCCTTGCCTGTGCTGGGATCACATATGGCAGCCTGCTTATTTCCTGGCTGCTCTGCTTCCCATTGAGCTCCCTGCTTGTGGCCTGGGAAAGCACTGGAAGATGTCACAAAGCCTTGAGATCCTGCACCCATGTGGGAGACCTGGAAGAAGTTCCTGGCTCCTGGCTTCAGATCCACTCAGCTCTAGAAGATCTTTCTAACTCCTCGTCTCTGTAAATCTGCCTTTTCTATAAAAAAAAAAAATAGATCGATTATTTAAAAAAAAGCATGAGGAGGGAGTACATAATCTAGGAAAAGTGGTTCTGAGGAATACAGTGATCAGTGATTTTTCATTTTGTTGAATTTGCAATGTGCTTTTTTTTACAATTACTGCCATTTTTGGTGTGTTACATAAATCACTTAGCAGTCAGACTCAGCTTTTTATATAATTTTGTCAAAGTGAACTCAGTGAAAACTTAAGAACACTGCTATTCAGCAGTTAGAAATCCTAAAGGCAGTTCACATGTTATTTAAAGAGAGAATATTTTCATATTTCTAAATATGAACATCAGGACTACTCTCTTCTCAGGCATCAAAATCTAGAGAGGAGATCCTTTGGTCATTCCCAACACAATATGATTCAAATAAAAATACTGCTTATTTAATACTTTTCCCTTAATTACCAGGAATATTCTGAATTATAAGACAATTAAAAAAAAGTGAAGGCATTGAAAGCCATACTGGTTTGAATACATAGAAATAACTTTTTATTCTCTTACATAGCAACATATTTAAATAACTTTTCTGAAACATGCCCCATCAACTTCCCCTTTTTTCTGTTAAAATGGAATAAGTGCCAAGTTTAAAGTCATTGTGTTTTCCTGGACTGTACCTGCGGAGTTTTGTGAGGCCTAATAATCTAAGGAAACAATGGTGGTTCATGGTTTAAGTGATTGAGTAGTACAAGTGGCATGTGAACCTGTGAAAGATGATACTCTCCTACTACTGAAAGACAATGAAAATTAGGGAAGTTTCAGAGAAACTAGTACCTTAAAACAAAAAGACTGACTTCTGAAATGATTTGAGCAAAAAATGTGGTTCTTTTTATTGACAAAAAAAAGTAAGTTTCATGTCACTAGGAATCATTTTCAAAATTCCAATCAGTGACACACTGCATATTATTGGTGACCAGGAGCAACATAAACACTTCTGAAATGACATATTTAGTAATAGAAGACTTAAGAGTGTGGAAATTATATTGTAATTTTCCTGTATTAGAAATAACTGATAAAATAATGGTATGCATTAAATATGTGTTTTGGTAGATGCTTTAGACCATTTTGTAAAGCACAAATGAAGTGCTGAATATGTAAAGGTGAGGAGTCCAGTCCAGCGCTCCTTATGCAAATGTCTAAAAAAATCGGCATGTCTACATCAAAATAATTTTAAAACCAATTTTCATAAAATGTCTTTTTATCTATGAGAGAAAACATCTTTTCTGGCCCTACTTCATATTTACTTAGTAATTTGCTAATCATTAGAAAGAATATTAAATGCTTAAAACTGACACTTATCAATAATTAAATAATTCATTGGCAATTAATGAAATTTGAAAGGAAATAGTTCAACCCTTATGTTACCTCACAATTGGAGTTCTTGTAAGCTTTAACATTATCATAGTTAATGTATTTTTAATTTAGTAAATGTTAAAAAGAGTGATTATAGCAAAGAGTCAATTCATCTGACATATTTATTAAAAAAATTTTTATTCTAATGTTTCATTTTGAAAAATGGATTTCAGTGTACTGACAAGAACTTCAACCTAATTAGTGAATAATTCATTCAAAAATAGATTTCCTTGATATGTTAGATTTCACATTTTAAGATCATTCCAGAGAGTTGCACATTGTGCTGAAATCTTCTGGAGCAGAAGTATTAGAAACCTTTGCATGAAGATGCTGCTGAAGATTCAGGAAGCAGATGAATGTACCTCTCTGTGTGGCATTGGCAGAGTGGTACAGCTAGATCAGATTGCACTCTCACTGAGTATGCTTTAAGTGTTGGTTAGCTCTGATTGGAAGATGTAGTTGTACTTTCAAATCCTTCCTTTCAGCTTTCATGCTGCTTTATCTTTGTATGCATATTGCCTTATGTTCCTTACATTTTCACAGTTGTTAATCATTTTTACGAAATATATTTTCCAGTTAACAGATGTTTAATGTTTTCGAATATATAAATGATATGTGAAACAGTAATTCATACTGAGAAAATTTAAATTACATGGTTGTGTTGTGTTAATCTGCTCAGGCAGCTATACTGGAGTGCTGTATACTCTTCATCCTAACTAATGGAAACTTATTGCCTCATAATTTTGGCATCTAGGAACCCAAGGTCACAGTTGTGTTTCTGGTATGAGATGTATTCTGGTACTAGAAATGATGATCTTCTTTCTATGTACTCACATTATCTCAGCTTATTCTTCATCCTAGGGAAGAAAGGCTAGAGAGAAGAGGAAGGTTCACTAATGCCTCTTTTTGTAAGGACATTATTTTTTTTTCATGTTAAATGGAGAATTTCTTTTGCAATCGGTAGGACTATGTATTGCCATGTGTGCGCGTAGCAAGAGGAATGCAAATTTGAGATCTCTACAAATAATTACTCTCTGACCTTTCCCCATGTGCAAGGGTTGATTCAAGCTGACACGTTCTTCTTTTCAAGCCAAGG